GTTAACGTCTTAACTACCCGGTGACACTCACCTTGGTGAAACCCTTGTTCAACCCATAAATGACCTTGGTTGCAGCCGGGTTGCTGAAAGACAGTGTGTTTGGTCCAATGCGTACAACGTCGCCATGCTTCCGATGTAGCGCGATATGCGTCTCATGAGGCTGCCGGCCCCATACATCAATGAACCGCCAGAGGTCCGTAAACTTGGCCAGAAAGGGGCCGGGGTAGCGACTTAAACCGTTGTGAATGTACAAGTGGCCGAGATAAACTAGCGAAATAAAGGGGAGGATATACAGCGCATGCTCAGGCGACGCGCGCGAGAAGATCTCGGCAAGAAGAGTCATGATGGGATATACCTCGCTGCCTTACGAGAGGTTGATACGGTGGGAAGAGCACCCAATATTTATCTGATTCCATCCCGTATCATTCCTCATCTCAAGGAGAGCAGGGTTACATGTCATGCCAAACTGTAACCAGCAGGGTCGGCAGTTGTGAAGGGTCGATAACATCCGACACACTTGGTGTCAATGTTACCCCGCAAGGGCTCAGTGGATGATTTATCGCTACAGCTACGGAGTATTGTTAGATAATAATATCAAGGGACAAAAATAATGGAGAACCCCGCACAGCACAACCCCACAAAGGCCCATTGTTGGGATCCTGATGCTCTGCCGTTGAAGTGTCAAAGGCACCAGTCCATGGCAATGACAGTAGTCTCCACTTACCCCAGAGATCTGGAGAAGACAACCAAAACTAGGGAAAAAAAATATATATATATATATATATAAAAATAGGTAAGCGAAGAAGCAGCTTTCGGCATATAGGCGAATGCAAATTTACCGAGTTCCTAGCATAAAATAGCGGACAAGTGGGAACCATGCGTTGGCAATCAGTGCTTCCGGCGCTTAATTGGATGAAAGCACTTCGTGTTCCACTCTGATTGGCAGGGATCGGCTCAATAATACCCTATATCTCGTCATATTATCTCAAGAAACGTGCCTTCCAAAGTCATGCGTCACCAGCTACTTCTCGCATATCGACCCAAGAGCATGCAGTGTCTTATGCTTCCTCAATCGCTATATGGAAAGTACACCCATCATATTGGGTCACGGCAAATGTCAGTACCCTCGACTGCCGACTTCAAAAAACTTGTTCAGACAAACCTAGAGGTCAATCGTCCAACGGAAGATATTCGAAGGCACTGCTAGGGCGACTGATAGCTGAGGTTTCAAAGTCATGTTAATTCACCTAAGAATCTCCATCTGGTGGAATACATAAGTGATATGTTAATTTACCATAGATTCTTTGAAGACACTTGTCCTCCAAGTGGCTACATTTGAACGGATAGATGTATCTTATACAAATCTACCTATTCCAACGCCTTGGGCAAGACCCTGCTAAGTTGGAGGCTCTTGATTTCCTCAGCTGGCCGTCCTGGTTGTCCTTTAATACACCTTGCATCTTTTCTGTCCCGGAAAGAACTCATGGCCCACTCTCCAAGGGGCAGTCCTACCGGCCCTTGTGGTGACATGGGTTGCGTACGGATTCAAAAGAATTTACGGAGAACTACTTCAAGACTTCTTTTACCACATGCAAGTTCGGGTAGCTTCTGGTTGGCATCCAGATAATCTTCGACCACAGAGGCTCTTACTTTGAGAAACGTTTGTTTTCGTATATCGCTGTTTCAATTGCCTTTTGGCTTGTATTTGTTCTTTGATTCCCTATGCCGCCGCGTACACTGTTGTAGACTACGAGACCTCCGTGATAAACACAACATGAATTGGTAATTTGTAAGTGATCTATTAAGTTTAACCTATTGAATGGAACAGGCAAATAAGACTAAGGTGGGGAGAAATGTTCATATACTCATGCCATAGGAGACTTAACAATACTTTCCTGCCGACCGGCGGCGGCATCTTTTTATTTCTGACTGCAAGATTTTGCAATACTCTCGGCGATCCAGGTCTGTGCATATCGCTAGAATATCATAATATCATGAACTCAGTTTGGCTCTGCGACGCCCTGTCCTCATGCGGTCCCAAGTAAGTATGTATCGATTTAGTCAAGACAACATAATCCGCCCCATAGCAAGAGCCATAACCAGTCCTTAACGAAGGGAATTAAGAAAAGAAATCCAAGAAGCCAAGAAGCAAGAATTCCCCGCATCCGGGGTCAGACTACTCGAATCATGGGGAAATCTCCATCCTCACATTGGTGGGCACTCCGTCCCCATATCACTACCCCGGCACTTATAAAGCGTCTCTGTTGCCGAACCCTATTCTTTTCACACTAAACAACCACAATGCCAAGCTCTTCCGCTCTCCGCCACCCAAGACTAGGGATTCTAGATCGTTTCACTGGTTAATTCGCGAGGCTATGCCTAATTCTTTACAGTTGTCGTAGTTGGTTGCTCGAAGAGAGCCTCTGGGGTTATCGCCTTCCCCGCATGAACTAATCCTGAGCTAGAGTTGATGGCCTGAGTTCGACTACGCATCTATGACTACATAAAGCGGAGACTTGCTGCGCATGATGATTCAGTCTCCAAAGCGGGCTGTATCCATCGGCTCAAATTGTCACCCCCCCCCCCCCGGGTTTCTTTCTTTATTAACTTATTATTGGCCTTTTTTTGTTGCTCACCAATCTCTACAGCCAATAATTTTCTCGCCATGTCTGAGGAAAAGTTTGGTCCCCAGCATGCCGAGGATGACAGTACCGGCATTACGGAAGATTATGATCCTAATGCAACTGATCGGTATGATCCGTGTCCCTATATCTTAGATGACACCTTGGCTAACTCAAGGTTTTGTATGTTCAGATCCGTCCAACCCACAGTGGGGTTAGACCCTGCTGCTGAGTCCCGGCTGCGATTGAAGATTGATCTCTACATCGTCCCTGTCGCATCCCTTATGTACCTCTTCTGTTTTATTGATCGAGCAAACATTGGTAAGACACTCTGTATTAGTCGCCATGTTTGACGCAGACCCAATTCTTTTCGGACAATGGATGGGTGACGCTAATGATTTGCATGTTACAGGGAATGCGAAATTGGCCGGGCTCGAAGAAGACCTAGGGTTAACAGGCCATGACTATAACACCTTGCTCTCTGTGTTCTATATTTCCTATATTATCTTCGAGATCCCTTCCAATATCGCCTGCAAATGGCTTGGTCCGGGTTGGGTCATTCCTGCCCTGACCTTGGGTTTTGGAATATGCTCATTGTGCACGGCATTTGTCCACGACTTATCAAGTGCCGCAGGAGTGCGCTTCCTCCTAGGTGCCTTTGAGGCAGGATTACTCCCGGGCATCTCATACTATTTGTCGCGATGGTATCGGAGAAGGGAACTTGCCTTTCGGATCTCCATGTATATGGTGATGGCCCCTCTAGCTGGTGCCTTCGGTGGCCTACTTGCTTCTGGCATTCTGAAACTTCCTTCCTTCGGCAGCCTGAAAGATTGGCGTATGATCTTTGCCATTGAAGGCATTATAACTATCGGAGTTGCTATTTTCGCGTTCCTAACCCTCACAGATCGACCCGAGACAGCCCGATGGTTGACGCAGGAGGAGAAAGATCTAGCCATTGCGCGAATCCGCTCTGAGTCAGAGTATGCGGGCGTCACCGAGGTCCTGGACAAGCTAGACACGAAGAAGACCATGCGCGGGATCTTCAACCCCGTCATATTGGCGACGTCTTGGATCATGCTTCTTGTGAATGTGACAGTGCAGGGCTTGGCCTTCTTTGCGCCCACTATTGTGAAGACCATCTATCCAAACCACAGCATTATCTCCCAGCAACTCTACACCGTGCCGCCCTACATTATCGGCGCTTTCTCCACACTCTTAATCCCCTACCTGAGCTCGCGCTTCAATCGCCGACTCCTCTTCTTTGTTCTTACCCCTCCACTCATGATGGCTGGGTATATCATGTTTCTGGCAAGTACCGACCCCCGTGTTCGTTACGGCGCCACGTTCTTGATTGCTTTCGGATCATTCCCCGTTGGTGTCCTTTGCAATGCCCATTCGGCAGCCAACGTCATCTCGGACACGGCACGTGCGTCAGCAATCGGAACTGTAGTGATGCTGGGTAATATCGGCGGTTTGGTCGCGACCTGGTCCTTCCTGCCATTCGACGCACCCAATTATTATATCGGCAATGGCCTCAACCTAGCCACGGGGGCAACAACGCTCCTAACGTCAGGCTGTCTGTGGTTCTGGTCAGTTTGGGACAATAAGAGACGAGACAAACAGGATGTTGACCGGGTTCTTGACGGGATGACGGGCCGGCAGATAGAGGATCTGGAATGGCGGCATCCCAGGTTCCGCTGGAGATCATAGAAAACGAAAAGTAGATTGTTCACGGCAGGCATATGATTGAAGTATCTGCGCTGCTCACGATGCTAGTGAACCTCATTTCGAGCTCCTTTTAATATTCTGTTAGGCTCTCATGAGCTGCCTTGGATAGTTCTATCTCCTCCCATTCGCATCTGTACTAGTGTAGAATAAGACCATCTTAGATTATGACGAAGTACCCGGGATGATCCTTAACCTTAATTCAGCACACGGCATCTAGCGATAAATGAGATACACCCAAATGTCATCCATTCTATATATAGACTCTACCAGCTATACATTACTGATAGGAGCAGCCATGCTGGTATCTGGAGATCCGTCATAAATCGTAAGTGAAATCTCATAATACAAAAGAAAAGAAGAGACGTATTATTTCGATTATGTACAATTTTTAGTTCAGTACGCACCAGCATTCAACGCTACTCGTGCGTGATGTTTACTTGCCGACTGACCATGATATCAGTATTTCCGTGGCTGTCGTTTGGAATAATTTGTTTCTGGCTGTCCCCGTCGCTCAGCTGGCTGTAGCTATCCCTGCTCTTGTCATGAACCCCTCGCTCAACCACCGATGTGGTGAAAGTGTTTGTTGGCACTTTTTCCCTGCCCAGATAATTTGTATGAGGCGGCGAATCTCGAAGGACCAGTCCGGCGAGAATGGCTGCTGTTGTATCCTTTGCTGCGGATCGTTCGTTCGAAAAGACTGCAGAACAGTGGACGCAGTGTAGCGACATTGCCGACGATCACACCGATAGCGTTCTCTGCAAAACCCCAGATAACCACATTGGCGACGGCGACGGCGAAGAGAAAGTCTTCTTGATTGGTGAGGTTGACCGTGTACTTGAGCCGAATACAGGCGGAAAGAGAGGCCCTGCTGAGTTTTAGCGTCTCATTGTTCAACCGGTTCAGGAAAAGCGGCGACTGGTACGTACAGTACAGGGAAGTAGTAGTAGTAGTAGTAGTATTCATTTACACTGGCCCCTCGCCGAAGCGATATGCAGTATACAACAACTATATATCCGAGTATGTACATATAGAATGGTCCACTTCCTGACACTAACTTAGAGCCTCGTCACGGCCTATCGTGGCCAATTGCCGCGCGACTGCGAAACCGCTGTCGGCTAAATCCAGTACGGCCTGAACCGTCTTCGCCCTCGAGACGGTGTCTGGTTTACCTTTGTCACCTTCGTTTGAGCCCCCAGCAGGCTCGATACACTGTCAAACGCGTCCCCGACTTTCTTCCTCAATTCTGTCCTCAGCTCACGGAGCCTTGGACATTCTAACAACACATGGGCAACTGTCTCCTGCGCGCCGCACTCGCACCGGTCGTGCTCGCTGTATTAAATCTCCTTCCGGTAGCTGGATACCGGAAGGAGATTTAATGTTGCTTAAGCCATCCACGAGGAATTAAATTGTGCTGATTGCCAAAATCCAGAGCGTTTGATAGGGCAATCCTATGTTCAGATCCCACAGTCCAACTACATTGAAACACAGCCAGCTTTATCTTAGGAACATGCTTTCCTTTATCCTATGTCAGAAGAACCAATTTTACTAACTTATTAGCTCGACAACAAAAAGTGGGTTGAAACATCCTCCGAAAAGGGTATCGAAGGCGAAACGAGTATAGGATCACCGACTATATTAGGTTAGACTATATCTGCTCTAGATATCCAACTTCTTAGCTTCGGATATAACAACACTCCTATATGTAAGGGCCAAGAAGTATACTGTGGAAACAAACTACCTAGTAAAAGGTTCACGTTAGACTAGTCATGGATTGGCCGACTTCCGGAGAGTGACTCTGCCACCGTCACCGAGGTGCTCTTGTGTCTTCGAACGAGCGACACCACTTCTATAGACCCGTTTTACAAAATTATATTTTAAAAGCTAGACAGTCAAACGTGTATAGACCTCTTAAAAGAATAGATGACGCTTAACAACTCCGGTGTGGTTCTAACCTACGTGGAGCCAAATTGGTGGCTATCAGAATTGGAATACATGGATCTAGAAGAATTTGAGGATGTTGGTATGTTTACCTAATTAGAACTATGTGTTTCATTCCTCGCTAATGTTAGAAGACCTAAGAAACGCTGTGTTTGTTATGCTACGAACTACCGACGCCAAACAGTTTAGTCGCGCCTTAGCACCTTTGAAGAGTAGATCCGTGGATATATAGATACTCTAGCTGGCTTCGTTGCTGACATAGATCGAGTCTTCCAGCCTAGACAAGTTGACGGGTAGGCAACCCTTTAGCTTCCGCCTGGATTTTATTGACAATCTTAGATTTCATATCCCGTATCCCTGATTTGCAATTACCTGGCAAGATTCACAGCACCAGTGGCAAGCTTAGTGGCATTCTGTCAGAGGAATGAATAGAACGTAGGAAGCGCGAACATCAGTTCCATTGCCAAATATGCCACTTCAGATTTAAAAGTAGCATAAATAGACATACGCCAAGGTTTTCACGCGAAATGGTATCAGAGGTACGATAATGAAGACTAGGAGTAATGTTCAGAGAAATAGGGGATAATTGGAGATTATATCCGAGCAGTATCTATGAAAAGCCCTCACTACTATAATGCGCCGAGAGAAGCGCCTATCCCCTCTCCCAAATTCTCGATAGTAGAGACCTATCTTTACTCGGTGGCAATGTGCAACCCTCATTCTTAATCGTAACCACCATTAAATATAGAATTCTTGCTTAAGACTAAGTTAGCACTTTTGCCACTGATATACTTAGGGAAGCTCACGTTGTCGTCCACTCCGGATCACAATAAAACCCGAGATCATTTCTTATTTGGTCATAAGGGCTTATATAGCTTATGTCTCACCACAATATCTTTTAAGATATCTTCGAATAGTGGACGATAGGTTACTTCAGACTGATTCCTAAGTTTGCGACTTTTGTCTGCGAACTACCTCCCCTAGAACCTTTTCTAGCAGCACTACCCGCGCCGTCTCCCTGTCCTCTACCCGCGGCCCCCGAATATCGCGCGATCTAACCTCGATTCAATGCATAATAAACACGATCTTCTCTTATTAAACGTGATATATCTAAGAGCTGATGCGCAAGGCTTCACGAGATGGATAGAAGAGGTATTGCCAATGAGAAGGCTGACCTTCTTAGGCGAGGTTTCTTTAACCCGGCATGGTAGCTGGTGTCATCAAAACGAACAGCCACCTTATGCTCTTATCGTGGTCGATCATAAGATCTATCTTGAAAGCGGGATTTTATTCCATCCACAAGTACCACACTTTGGTATAGGATTTGATAAAATCCTAATCGTTTGAGAAATAATTGCCTATACTGGATGCGGTGCGGTCTCGGTAAGCCGGCAAGCGTTCTAGTTTAATAAATCGATAGAATTTGTCTTGAATTCCTCCATAGCGATAACGGTTCTCACTAAGACGTTGACGGTTCGGAAACTAGTGGTTGAAGTTCGTAAGGACAGTATGCCATTCTTTCCAAAGAACGACGCGCTGGTGCTAGATGAAGTAGCATTCCTCCTGTGAGTATTTTGTACGACGTGTGAGCCGGCTAGGTGCGCTTGTAGTGGCGTTTTCGACACCTATCCGTCCGGCAATGGCGAGGGATAGCCTTGTCATTTGCACATATGGTCTTTTGGAGGGGCAGCTATTTACTTGAATCGTGGGTCTTAGTTTTGGGCTTTTTCCTAAGTGACTGGCATGTTGTGTGCGTTGTGACAGATCCTTTGAGTAGTGTCGCGCGTATTGCGGCATGGCCGTCGCTTGATCGTTTAACAGCTAACTGACCTTTATTGGGTCTGGATTTGGGTTCTGTTGAATAGGCGAAACGTCGACTGCCATTATTGCTTCAACAATCCGAAGAAAGAAAGCGGAGAATTAAAGGAAAAGAGACCGCATGGTCTTGTTCACGAAACGGCCGTAATAGTACGTGTCCGGTCGATTTCTATTGTAGCATAATCAGTTTGGTCTGCACCAATAGACGTATGTCTAACCTTCAGAGCGGGACTAATGAACCTAGGCTTGACTAGTTCAATCAGACGCATGCCCCTTCTGGGAAATCTATATCTTGGCATACTGTATGACTAGGAATGTTCCCGGGAAGTATCTAGATCGCTAATTAGCGACCTTCCACCAATAAAGTTGCTCCCTAGACTATTACGTGTCTCAATGTGGAACCAGAGTCTAGTCCAAGCTGGCCCTGTACTATATGGATTAGTGTGAGGCAAATTAGGGTCAAGAGGATTCATCCAAATTCGAAGGGTTCCATAAATAAATTGTCTAATCGCTCTTGCTCGCCCTGCCTTCTATCCCACGGGGGTGGGTGCAGTCTACTAGACTGCAGGTTAGGGTTTTCCGTTAACTATGGGACATAAAAAGTGGGGCCCGTTAGACTGCAGGTTCTTTTCCTCGTTAGACTGGAGAGGTCTAATAAACTCCGATCGGTCTAAGATTTTTATGAGTTATAATAGACTATGTGAAATATCTCCCATTCGCTTCGGAGCACGCACAGCCTAGTAATTATTGAGAAAATAGCGATTGAAAATTAGAGATGTTTTGTTGGGGTGTACCATTACGGTGTACGATTAGTACCTAAGACGCTACCACAGCACTCTAGACGAATAGAACAACGTCGATAATGTCAGTCTATAATGATCCGGGGGGTAGCCATTAATTCAGGGGGTTTTGAAAGCTCCGTAGCTATTATCTAACTTTTTCATTATACTATTTCACCCCAAAGTTAGCATTCGACATTCGTCAAATTTCATGCAATTCATTATTACACGATATAACGTATTTCCCAAGCGAGCGCCGCACCCAAGCGAGCGCCGCACCCACGCGTCATTCTCGCGTTTTATACAACTCTCTCTATCCCACGGGGGTGCTGGAGTCTGGCAGACTCCAGGTTAGGGTTTTCCCTTCACTATGGGACATAAAAAGTGGGTCCCGCCTGACTCCAGGTTCTTTTCCTCGCCTGACTCCTAAGGTCTAATAGACTCCGATCGGTCTAAAATTTTTATGAGTTATAATAGACTATGTGAAATATCTCCCATTTGCTTCGGAGCATGCACAGCCTAGTAATTATTGAGAAATTAGCGATTGAAAATTAGAGATGTTTTGTTGGGGTGTACCATTACGGTATACGATTAGCACCTAAGACGCTACCACAGCACTCTAGACGAATAGAACAACCTCGATAATGCTAGTCTATAATGATCAAGAGGGGTAGCAATTAATTCAGGGGGTTTTGAAGCTTCCTATCCCACGGGGGTTGCTGGAGTCTGGCAGACTCCAGGTTAGGGTTTTCCCTTCACTATGGGACATAAAAAGTGGGTCCCGCCTGACTCCAGGTTCTTTTCCTCGCCTGACTCCTATCCCACGGGGGCACCTACCAGTAGCAGAAAACGGAAGTCGACCAACAACCACATAGCCCTTTTTTAACTCAATAAAGCCCCAATACGGAGCAGTGGGCTTAGTCCACTTTATTTCTTCAATCAGAATTCTTTTAACTTATACGGTCACGGAGTTACAACCCATCGAAGTTGGCCATTTTTGGAGCTTTGAAGGGAAAACGGTTACATAATCGTGCTTCATGTTTTTGTCCTCAAAACTAAACCCTTTTTGATTTATTTCCTCAAAACTAAGCCTATTTGGGACCATAAGCAATATTTATATGAGGGATCATAAACCGCCTCGATAGATCAGAACCGCCCTCCATGCTTATGTCATTGACCCCTTATTTTGGGGCTCGACTCTAGTAAGCTCGATATCTGCTTACCATCGCTCTTACTCTAGTTCTTCTTTAGTATTATGGCGCCCGACTCCCCTCGAGCCCCTACGCGCAAACGAGGGCGGCCTCGGAAGTATGCATCCGCCGAGCAAAGACAAGAGGCTAAGAT